GGTGACAATGCAGCCTTCACCCACACAACTTGAAGGTAGTTTCAAATACTATTTTTTTGTTAATCCTCACCTTAGGATGTTTTTTAATTGATTCTTTAGGGTGTGAGGGAGGAAGAGGAGGAGAGAAGGGGGGGAGAGAGAGAGAGAGAGAGAGAAACATCAATGTGAGAGAGACACAGACACATTGATTGGTTGCCTCCCAATCAATGTGACCCGGACCGAGCAGAGATCGAACCCATGACTCTTCCCTCTGCAGTCGGATGCTCTAACCGCTGAGCCAAACCAGCCAGGATGGAGTCACAAATACTTTAAAAAATGATATCAGAGACCAGAGTCAAATCATCTACTTTAGATGGAATTATTTAAAGAAAATTTTGTTATATGACAAAATCAAAGTGCTAAAAACGACTCATTTTGAGGCACTGAAGACATGATCTTGTAAAAATATTGGCAATTTCCATAAATCTTCAGACCACAAACTTGGGGGTGGGGGGAGCTACAAGCCTATTTAAGTTTGTGAGATACTAAACAAAAGAGTGATCTCCGAATATCCACCTCTGACCAACCGCCACCGTATTGATTCCAGCACATTCTTAGGAACCAAGGTTTTGCTCTGCAGGGCTCCACATGGATCTGAGTGTGAAACCCCGGGATAGAAGGGAACAAGAAACGTCATTCCAGGGGCTCCTACGAATTCTCATTCAATCTATATGAGTACTTTCAGGCCATAAAACACAGCTTTAAACTGGCTATCGGCCCTGTTATAAACACCGGAAGCAAAAAGGGCCATTACTGCACCAGAATTACCATCGTAAAAATGCGGGGTGGAGCAAAAGGGGGTGTACAGTTGTGAGTATATGAAACACCGAGTTTATTCTTGCATTATTATTTATTACACATTGTATTATTTTCCTTAGGAACAACTGTACACCTATTTTTGCCCCACCCTGCATTATAAATAACGTCAAAGTCAGACTGACTCAATGCCCACAGGGCTCCATTCTCTTCAACACTAGTGACCGCTCCACAAAATATGCTTCGCACAGCATTTGTCTGCAAACCGAGATGTTACTTTCCTCTGTGATGACGGAAACGGTAGTTTTTAATAGTGGATCAGCAATGTTTACCTTCTACCCATTCTGCTCTTAATATAAATACCGTGCCAGTAAAAATGTCACAGCTTTTACCGCTGAGCCAAACCGGCCAGGGCAAAATGTCACAGCTTTTAGAGGTGACAAATAATTACAAAAGAAAGAGTAAGAGAAAGAAAGGACGAAAGACAGAGAAGCGCAGACACAGGACGGGGAACAGCAACCCTGTGGCAGCTTTGCGGGTCCAGCGGGAAGCCGGTCACACAGGACGACGGGGGAGGGGGAAACGTCTGTTTCTGGACTTTGATGGAAGCTGCTATAAAACTTGTCCTCACTTCATATTCTCCACTTTCCTTCCAGTAGATGCCAAATATTCTCAAGCTTTTGCCTACTTAGTACAAAGCAAAGCAATAAAAAGCCCATTGTGGCCCGGCCGGTGTGGCTCAGTTGGTTGAGCATTATCCCAGGCACCAGGAGGTTGCAAGTTCGATTCCTCGTCAGGGCACATGCCCGGGTTTCAGGTTCGATCCCCAGTAGGGTCCATGCAGGAGGCACCCAATTGATGCTTCTCTCTCTCATCGATGTTTCTACCTTTCCCTCTCCCTTCCTCTCTCTGAAATCAATTTAAAAAATGAAGCCCATCAGGCTACCCCTCCAGTACTAAGGGACTAAAGCTTGCGGGGATCACAGAGCTGGTTTGTAGCTAATGAAAGGTAACATTATTCTAACAAGCTGTTAAGAATAACAACAGCTGTGAAAGTGGCATTTGCACGGGGAAGGCGACATCTGAGAACGCAGGGGCATCAGGGCCCTTAATTATCAGTCTCCCGAGTTGTCTCCCACATTGTGGGTGGGAGCTGTCCTGGGACACGTCTCTAACTAATTTTTATGCCAATAGATTATGTTATGAATTGTTCCGCTGACACTCAAATTCACATACACAGGTTGTTACTAAATACATCTATTTCTGTGTTCCAAGCCATAGCTTTTAATGAGTTAACTCTGCATTGGAAGATAGTTACCGGAAACAGTGCAATGCAGCAGCATAACAGGTTTCAAGGTCAACCCAACGCACAGGTGCTTAAAGGAGAACTGAGGAAGGGTAAGGTCAGCACCTTCGTTCTGTTCAGTGCCTACTACTGGGCACAGATCACTCCGTCTGGGGAGAGGACAGAGGAGCATGCATAACAGTCAAAAGACAACAATTTAATCAAGAAAACAGTTCTGCATCACCAAACCCATTAAGGGGCACAGGCGGCCACCAAATCCAAAAGTATGTTAACTCTATTGTTTCATGGGTTTCCTGAGTCACCTACAGTGTTTGTTCACTTACACTTACAAAGAGTAACAAAAGGGAATACAGCCAAGTAATGTGAGCTTCTAGTTAAAAAACGAAATCTTAGCTGTAGAGTTAAAATGTTTGCAGGAAGTTTTCACTACAACCAAGTGAATCACTCTGGGTTTAGAAGTGTGGCAATTTTATAAGCAACGACGACCCAACCTCGCATTGTTACTTCAGATCTGACTTTAACGCCACCAAATACAAACCCAGACCGAACTGTTTGTTTCATGAAGCACCTCTAGCTACACACTGACAACTCCCAGCAACTCTGCAACTCCTGCAACTGAGGGCCTGAAATTCTCTCAACTGTTTGATACTTTCGTTTTCCAACTTCAACTCAACATAAACTCTTCTGTTAGGAGTACACACGCACACTCACAGGTCATAGAAAGTGTGCAACCGACCATCCACATCAGCTGTCCTAAAACAGCCCTAACAGAAAAGTATCATCTCAGATTATGTAAATTTTACACTGATGAGTTTAGTTTTGAGAATTAAGATTTTCATCCTATGTCAATAGGGAGAAAACACAACGTGAAAAGAAAAGTAACATTTTCAAATTACTTCCCACTAAAATACCACTTTCCAACTTCTGGGTGGCTCTGAAGTTGTGTTGTTGGGTGTGACCAGTCCACAACCACCACCAAGCAACCCCACTTTGGTCTTTAAATGGAAAGGGGGTAAGAAAAGAGCATTTCGGCTGATTTGTAAGACAAATAACTTTTCCCTTCCAATCTCTAATGTAATCCGGCTAAAGAGCACACCTCACACTTTAAAAATCAGCCCTTTCCCCGGCCCACTCCCAGCCTGTGGCCACAGCTCCGCGAGAGCAGAAGGGTGAAGTGTGCAAGGGTGACAGAGACAGGACAGATGGTCTGGGGGTAGCGAGAGGCCTCTGAAAACTGTCCCCCACAGCAAAGGGCAATTCCAGAGGGCGCTGGCCTCCGTGCTCAGCCCGTACTTGCAGAGAGCGCCTCGGGAAAGAAACCGTCTCAGGAAAGAAACCGCTCTCAGCTCAGGGTTCATCCCCACCCCTCCGGCGCTTTAGATGTGGGGCTTCCAAGGGAGAAGGCGAAAGCGAGGCTGGAGCTGGTTTCAGAAGGGGCAGGAATTCACCCAGAGAGACGGGATCTGTTCCCAGCCTTCGCCCGAAGGTGGTCACGTCGACCCCGACTCTGGACGTTCCTTAGGAGAAACGGGGTTAAAGAGGGCCCCGTCTAACACTGCAAAAACAATGCCCTGCAGAGACTCCAGGAGGTCCAAATGGCACACGGTTCACTGTCAGTGAAGCCTCCCCCGCTGGTGACCGGCGCCGCCACCCAGCCCCGGCCCGCCGGGCCCGGGGAAGTCAGAAGGGGGTGCTGGGGAGGTACCTCGTTCTGTCTCCAAAGGGCAACATAGCAGACGTGGGAAGGCGAGGTGTGGACCGTGCAGCCCCGGCCGACCCCGGACTTCAGCAGGCGCGGGGGGCGACGCCGCGCCCAGGTGAGGCGGGTGACTGGAGCCGGCTCCCCTGCCGCCTCGTCCCGCGCCGCGCTGCCCCCTGGCGGGGAGCGCCCAGCACAGCGGCGGCAGCCCCCCACCGAGCCCCGGTCGGCTCCCACACCATCACCCCCGGCCCCGCGACCAGCGCCGGCTCGCGCCCTTCTGAAGGGTCGTTCAGGAGCCGGTCGGAGCGCGCGCAGGAGTCCTGTCCGCACCCAGGCTCCGCACCGAGTCCGCGGGCTTTGAGGACCCGCCCGCCACTCTCCGCTCCCCGCCCTGTCCCCCGGCTCCAGCCTCGGTTCCTCCCAAATCTCCGAGAGCGTTTCCCACGCGAGCCCCAATGCCCTCGGCGCGGCCGCCTTCCAGAGGACAGCTCCGTCCCCGCCCTCCGCCGCGGCCGTCGGCCTTGGCTCTGGACCAGGCGCAGCTGGCCCTGGGGTCGCTCTGGCCGCGCCGGACCCGCCCGTCTCCACGTCCACTCCACGCCGCGCCGCCACGGCTCCTGGAGCTCGGGAGCGAGGAAGGAGCGCGGGACAGCCGGGACCGGAGGGGACGCGGCGCCAGCACTCACTCGAGGACGGCTCCTGCGCGCTGCTCTCCCGGGGCTGCCCCGCCGTGTCGCCCCCTCCCCGCTCCCCGCCCCGCCGGGCCCGGGCGAGGGGGACGGGGGAGGAGCGCAGCCGCCGGGCCGGGCCGGGAATGGAGCTTCCGGAGCCGCAGGGAAGGGGCTCAAACTGTTTTGGTGTCGCTGTGGAGGCTGAGGGCTCCGGAGGCGGACGGGGCTGCCGGAGGCCGTGAGCGCGGGCGCGCGGGAACAGCTCCGGGAATGCGGGGGCGGGGGCCGGGGCCGCTGCGACATTTTTGTATCTGAACTTTGCCAGCAAGTTGGATCGAATCCCACGCCTGGGTGCTTGGGCTGCGCTCGCTTAAAGTCGAGGTCTCTGCACCATAACAAGACCGGGACCTACTTTCAAATCGAGGCCCGGGACCGAGGCTGTGCACCGGTGCGGGCAGGGGACGAGGGGGGAGACAGCAGCCAGGTCGGGCGCCCCGCCCGCCGGCCCGCGCGGGCCTCCTCCTACCTGGCGGCTTTCCTGACAAAGTAGGAGAAGGCGAAGTCCCGGTGATCGTCCAGCCAGGCTTCCACCGAGTCGTGGTCCCGCGGCCGCGCGCGGCCAGGGCCCTCCCGCTCCATGCCGGCCGCGCGCCCTGCGCCTCGCGGGGGCTGGTCCCCTGCCGGGGTCTCCTGCGAGCGGCCGCGGCCTCGAGACCCTCCCCGTGCCTCGCTCCGAGCGCGCGGACTTAGGCGGGCAGCGCGGGCGCCGGGCCAGCCTGCGGCCCCGCCCCGCCGCTTCGAGTTGGGGCTCCAGGTGTCGCGGGCGGGGCCGGGGCCGCAGCCGCGCCCCCGGGGGTCCCGCCCAGACGCTCCGGCGGCCTCTCGAGTCCCCGATCCCGAGGCGGCCGCGGCGGCAGCTGGCCAGCTCTCCGGAAGCCGGTGGCCACGGCCGGAGCAGCACGCGGCCGCTGGGGTGCGCTGTGCGCCGGGCTTCGGGTCGCGCGGAGGTGCCGGGGTGTTCGCCAGTGCCCCTCTCTAGGAACGGAGAGGTCGCGACGTGGAGACCCAGCCCCAGCCCAGAGAGCCGTAGCTAGGGGGACGGCTCCCCGAGAGGGAGCGGTGGTGCCACCGCGGACGCTGCTTCTGGGCCCCGAGAGAACAATGACCGCGCGTCTCCTCTGCCGGAGCAGGCGCTGGGGTCTGGGGGCCGCGGGGACACCGTCTCCGAGCCCAGCCGGAGCTGGGTTCACAGCGTCCCAGCCATCTGGCGCTCCCGGGACAGTGTGCATGGGCCACCAGACAGGTTTTCGGGTGACTTCCAGCACGGCCTTTTTTGTGCTCAATGTTAATAAATAACAACGTTAATAATAATGATAAATTAAGTGCCTTTGCATCAAACACACTCTCTTCACGACGTGGAAGGAGATTTTGTGTTAAAAAGGGGCGGGGTACCCTGGAATAATCACGATGGCGTGTGTATGCCGCCAGAAAACAAGGTCACCTCTGCACAGTCAGCCCGAGACCAGGGCGCTGCCGGTACAGTGCATGGCAGCCCGTTAGCCCAGTTCCAAATGGATTCCTCATTCTGTTTAACTGGAATGAACTTACACCCCTCCCCCTCAAAAGTATGGGTTTGAGAGGGCTCCGCCTTCCTGCCCTGCTCTGCCCATCCCCATCCTGCCTCACAAAAAGGGATTTGTGTCTTCCTTTGCTCGTCCTCAACCCCATAGCCCCGCAGGCACCTGCAGTTTTAATCTGGTGTGTGTGTGTGTGTGTGTGTGTGTTTTTTCCAGTGAACTAATTGTTTTTGACAGAATTAAATCTGGCCTTGTAGGTTTCACGGGGTGTGAAGGACACCATTAGCAGTGATATACCAAAAGCAATTTGGCTACATACTTGTAACAAACTCCTTTTAAAATGTTCTTGGCAACAATGTAAGAAATTACTACTATATAAAAACACATCGTTAAATTGATAATATGAGAACTTCTAGAACGTCCGTCCCTCCATGCAATCTTTCTGCATTACATAAGTGTCCTTTTGTAACTTCAGCTGCTCTGAAGCTTCTCTGTTCTAGGCAAGTAACCGCAGCCCCCAAATAACAAGCAAGCAAAGCAGAGTGAAGTCATGCATGATCAATTATGTCAGATTTTAAATGATCAGAAACCAGGAATGTTTCTGAAAAATTGCTGCAAGAGAAACATTTGCTGTATCCTTCCATCAGGCATCTCAATTTTGAGCCCTGTAGATAACCGGTTGGGGGGTCAGTGGGAAGGCCTGTTACCCGAGGTGAGCATATCACAAAGGATTGGGGCCTGAGGTGTTTCAAACTATTCTCTCTAGAAAACTCAGATGACATCTGTAGTAATACCTCTTGTAACTTTAAAGTTCTGACAAGTAAGCATATTCTGAATGGGCTTCTTGTTTCCCAGCTCTGTTTTATTCTTTTTTTTTTTTTTATCCTCACCCGAGGACATTTTTCCATTTTTTTGTTCAGGTAGAGTGGGGGGAGAGAAAGGAACAGAGAGAGAGAGAGAAACATCGATGTGAAAGGCACACATCGAGTGGCTGCCACCCGCACAACCGGCCAGGGCCGGGGACAAACTGCAACAGAGGTACATGCCCTTAGCGGGAACCGAACCCGGGTCTCTCAGGACCGCAGGCCGACGCTCTAACCGCTGAGCCAAACCGGCCAGGGCTCTGTTTTATTCTTTATCTCAACCTGCTCGATTATTTTATGTTGCAACTTACTGGTATGGATTGCACTAAACATCACAAATCTTTTAGAATGAGTTGAAGAATGAGTAAATAATAAACATCAGCAGGAAATTACATGGAGGATGCTGTTGACGCGTTTTACAACACACAGATGTGCAACAACTTAGCAGAAAGCCCCCCGACGTATTCCCATCAATGAATGAAATGCCAACTCTCCAACATGTCTTTTAAGGTTCCGTGGGATTTTGCTTTTGTCATCCTCTACTGTCAAAGGTTTTGGTTATACAAGTAGGACAAAAAAAACAAACAAAACTATGGATGATCAAATTTTTTTCCCCAAAAAGGATAACACAAACTGTTTAAGACTCACAACATCTTTCCTGCCTTGCCCCCCCCCCCCAATACCACACAGTACCCTCTGTTCTCTTGTAGCAATCCTATGTAGTCTAGGCTTGAGAAGACTGATTCAATATATTTGCACATAAAAGGGGATCCAGGTTTCTCACTGTTGAAGGGGAAACACTACGAGGTGCATGGTGGTGTTGAAATGTAACTGCAGGTTAAAAGCTCAGTGTGTGTGCTTAGGAACTGCCTGCATTTCCTTGTCATGTGGGATTTCCCCTCATGATGTGCACACACACACTGAGTTTTTAACCTGCAGTTACATTTCAACACTGCACATCATGAGGGGAAATCCCACATGACAAGGAAATGCAGGCAGTTCCTAAGAGCTGCGGGCAGTCCCCAGCTAACAGCCTACGAGGAGTTTGAGCTAGCGAGAACACCCCTCAGTCTTGTAACTGCAAGGAACTGAACACTGCCAACAACCCAAGTGCGTTCAGAAGGGGCTCTTTCCCAACCCTCAGGCAAGACCACAATCCCAGCCGTTAAGTTGACGGCAACCTCGGGAGATGCTAAGCAAAGACGTCTTCATAACTGACATCTTAATAATATTGAATCCTACAATCCATGAACATTGTATGTTTATCCGTCCAGTTCAGTCTTTTAAGATTTGTCCCAGCAACGTCTTGTAGTTTTTAATGTATACATCTTGCATTATTTTGTATACGCCCAGCTTTGTCACTGAGAGATGCTGGGAGCAATGACATTTCGGTAGCAGGGAGTACACGTAGTACCCGTACGTTGGTTACCAGATACCATTCTTCATTTTAAAAGAAACCAGCAGCCTGTGGAGAAAAGGTCCAGGTAGGACAAGGAAAGTACAAAATGTGATACCTCGGTTCTCGAACGCCTCGAATTTCGACCAAATCGGTATTCGACCAGGAGATTCGAGAAACTTTTGTCTTGGAATCCGAACAAATATTTGGAACTCGAACTTCCGAGATGAGCCGAGTTGAGCCGAATGGCGTTCATTCGGCCCAGCGCGCCTTGCTCGCGTCATCAGTGTGAGTGCAGAGAGAGAGTCACGCTTTGTGGAGAGAGTCACGCTTTACACTGAATTTAACCCTGAGACATACTGTACACTTTTATTTCTTGTTGAGACTTATGTTTTTCTACATATTATATACAAATTAGGCCAGTAAATAGGCATTTTCTGGGGCTTGGAACGAATTAATCCAGTTTCCATTATTTCCTATTGGGTTTCATTGCTTCGGTTCTCGAACAATTTGGTTCTCGACCGTCCTCCTGGAACGAATTATGTTCGAGAACCGAGGTATCACTGTACCTGGAAAATCTCGTTTTGCCAGAAAATGAAAAAGGCTTAAAAATGATGCCAACAGTCCTGGCTGGGTGACTCAGTTGGTTGGGGCATCATCCCTGACACCAAAAAGTTTGCAGGTTTGATTCCCGGTCAGGGCACATGCCTAGGTTTTGGTTCGATCCCCAGTCGGGGCATGTACGGAAGGCGACCAGTCGGTTCCTCTCTTACATCGATGTCTGTCAGTCTCTCTCTCTCTCTTTCCCTTCCTCTCGCTATAAAATAAATGAACACACACACACACACACACACACACACACACTCAGGTGAGGATAAAAAGAACGATGCCAACATATCAGAAGGACAGAACATGTATCTGGAGGCGGCTTCCAATGGACACAAGGGGGACAATTTGAATATCATGATATGACCTGGTAGTAACAACTTACTACGGTTCCGTACTGATATTAACAAATAACTAGATAAGCAAAGACATAAAAGAGAAGGGAATGTTCCTTGCAGCAGAGTGACAACCAGTGAACAGAAAAGGACGCATGTAGTTAGAAAGTCATTAAATGGTTGCTAAAAGAATGGGTGAGCATTATGTAAATGTTTACATAAAGTATCTTCTCATGAGTTACTTATTAGTTACCAAGGGGGGAAAGTATCTATCATTACTAGGAAAGACGTGTGGATACTCTAACCAAGTGATCAATTTAGAATCACTTACATTTGGAGGAACCAAAGTATACACCTTTCAATAGGATGTACAGAGAAGGACACAACTTACAACTTACTTATGTCCTGTTCCTGCCAAAAGCCTGCATCTGTTCATGATGATTAGACTGAGGGATTTTCACACAAACATGCCCAGATTGGGGAACTTTCCACAATGATTCAAGGTTAAGAAAAGACGAGAGACCGAGGAGCAGTATGTTACTTATTGCTATGCAACAATGTTACCTCAATGTTACTGGCTCAAAGCCAGGCACATTTTCTCTCTCCCAGCTTCTGCGGATCCCGAGTGAGGCTTGGCAGAGCCGGGCTTCTCTGAGGCTGAACCGGAGAAGGATCCCCTTCCGCCCTCACCCAGGCTGCTGGCACAATTCAGCTCCCCACGGTCGATCATCGAAATGAGGAATTCTTTTCCTTGCTGGGTGCCAGCGGAGACCCTCCAGGCTGGTGGCTGAGGCCCCTCTCTGCTCCTCAAACCTCCTTCATTTCCTTGTCTCACGAAGTCTCCAGCAGGCTCCTGACCCCC